TGACCAGTTTGGGGCACCTTTTAGAGTATTGGTGCATCTAAAATCCCATCAACGTATTCACACTGGAGAGAAGCCGTACAGCTGTGACCAATGTGGGGCAGCTTTTAGAGAGTTGGGGAATTTAAAATCCCATCAACGTATTCACACTGGAGAGAAGCCGTACAGCTGTGACCAGTGTGGGGCCGCTTTTAGAGTGTTGGGGAGTCTAGACGTCCATCGACGTATTCACACTGGAGTGAAATCATTTTGTTGTGAACACTGTGAGAAAGCTTTCAGTACGTCAAGTAGACTAAAAGTCCATCAACGTATTCACACTGGAGAGAAGCCGTACAGCTGTGACCAGTGTGGGGCAGCTTTTAGAGTGTTGTGGAATCTAAACGTCCATCGACGTATTCACACCGGAGTGAAATCATTTTGTTGTGAACACTGTAAGAAAGCTTTCAGTACGTCAAGTGGACTAAAAATACATCAACGTATTCACACTGGAGAGAAGCCGTACAGCTGTGACCAATGTGGGGCAGCTTTTAGGCAGTTGGGGAGTCTAAAATCCCATCGACGTATTCACACTGGAGAGAAGCCTTATTGGTGTGAACAGTGTGGGGCAGCTTTTAGAGTGTTGGGGAGTCTAAAATCCTATCGATGTATTCACACTGTAGATAAGCCATACAGCTGTGACCAGTGTGGGGCAGCTTTTAGAGTGTTGGGGAATCTAGACGTCCATTGACGTATTCACACCGGAGTGAAATCATTTTGTTGTGAACACTGTGAGAAAGCTTTCACTACGTCAAGTGGACTAAAAGTCCATCAACGTATTCACACTGGAGAGAAGCCGTATTGGTGTGAACAGTGTGAGAAAACTTTCACTACCTCAAGTGGACTAAAAATCCATCAACGTATTCACACTGGAGAGAAACCGTATTGGTGTGAACAGTGTGAGAAAACTTTCACTACCTCAAGTGGACTAAAAATCCATCAACGTATTCACACTGGAGAGAAGCCGTACAGCTGTGACCAATGTGGGGCAGCTTTTAGGCAGTTGGGGCATCTAAAATCTCACAGACGTGTTCACACCAGAGAGAAGCCGTACAGCTGTGACCAATGTGGGGCAGCTTTTAGGCAGTTGGGGAGTCTAAAATCTCACAGACATATTCACACTGGAGAGAAGCCGTACAGCTGTGACCAATGTGGGGCAGCTTTTAGAGTGTTGTGGAATCTAAACGTCCATCGACGTATTCACACCGGAGTGAAATCATTTTGTTGTGAACACTGTAAGAAAGCTTTCAGTACGTCAAGTGGACTAAAAATACATCAACGTATTCACACTGGAGAGAAGCCGTACAGCTGTGACCAATGTGGGGCAGCTTTTAGGCAGTTGGGGAGTCTAAAATCCCATCAACATATTCACACTGGAGAGAAGCCGTACAACTGTGACCAGTGTGAGGCAGCTTTTAGCTATTTGGGGAGTCTAGACGTCCATCGACGTATTCACACCGGAGTGAAATCATTTTGTTGTGAACACTGTGAGAAAGCTTTCACTACGTCAAGTGAACTAAAAATCCATCAACGTATTCACACTGGAGAGAAGCCGTACAGCTGTGACCAATG